TGATGATGATTTATAGCTTTTTGAAAAAACTGCCAAACTTGTGTGTGATCCTCCCACAGTCCAACAGACAACTCCTACTCCTTCGGTCACATAAGCAGACACCTCAGACTCCTTTGGTCAGACAGACAGCTCCTTTCCCTTAGTCCTTCCAGGTGAATGGCTGGATGTACCTCGAAGGGTGAGAGACATTTGCTTCATCTCCCAATTTTATCTTCATAAAAATCCTTACACTTCATTCAATGCTAAACAACTTCTGCAGCTCATATAATTTTGCAATTTATTTACTTATTTCTTTATTGGTAATGATACTTTCACTCCCAAGAAGAAAAGACATTCCCCATACCCAATTTTTATTTTTTTTATATGTATAATAAATGTATTTTTATATTTTAAATTAAAAAAAATATACTATAAAAATAATAAATAATATTATTTTTATAATAAATATGTTTTATATTTTAAATTTAATAAAATATTTATTATAACAATAAAAAAATAAATAAAAATTAGGGATGGGGAATGCCTTTTCTGCTTGGGAGTGAAAGTATCATTACCAATAAAGAAATAAGTAAATGAATTGCAAATTATATGAGCTGCAGAAGTTGTTTAGCATTGAATGAAGTGTAAGGATTTTTATGAAGATAAAATTGGGAGATGAAGCAAATGTCTCTCACCCTTCGAGGTACATCCAGCCATTCACCTGGAAGGACTAAGGGAAAGGAGCTGTCTGTCTGACTGAAGGAATTTGAGCTGTCTGTGTGACTGAAGGAGTAGGAGTTGTCTGTTGGATTGTGGGAGTTTCCCACATCATCTATTTTGAATGAACAGAAGAAATTACATAATGCAAACCTTATGAAAACACTTTATTGATAATAAAATAAATAAAATTTTATAGGCTCTAAAGTATCAGTATTTGATACAATTCTCTTCACTCAATAGTTTCCTACATAAGAGAAGTCTGTTCAAAAATAATCTGCAAAATTTTCTATTAATTAATAATATTCATATGGTATCAATTATTTCTGTGTAAAATTTTATAAATGTTGATTTTTCGTTGGATCTATACGCCGAGTTTACAATGTGAACACCAATTAGGTTTGTACAAAAGTATGATACATTTGTTCATATCACCAAATTTCATTAGTTTAGTTTTGTCAATATGTGATATTCATTTATTTTTTATTTTATGCTTTATTCTTTGTCGTGTGCATCAGTTAAATGCAATTGAGCCATAATTGAATAACAGTTTAATTAACTTAAATGTGAGACCAATATATAAAGGGCCAAATGGTTTATTATGTTAAATGCAAGTCATGACCTAAAATATTTTATTCATGCCATCTCACCTGTAATAAAGGCTGCAAGAGGCTGGATCTCGGTACAACCCATCTTCCTTCTCATTGCAGGAGAATGACAAATAGTCCCCTTCAGAGCCAACAAGAAGAGCCACAGAAGCTTCATCTGAACTGTTACTTTCCCCCAGTATCTAAATATGACATAATTTTAACCAGGTAAATTATAATTCTCTAGTCCAGTGTTTCTTAGGCTTTCATTTTCCAGCCAATGGTTCTCAAATTTTTTAGTCTGTGGACTCCCTACTACAAATTCGAGGGCCCCTCATTCTACCATATTTAAAGTATGTGCATATCAACTTAAAATATATTCAAATAAAATAATGTGTTTAAAATGTTTTAATGTTTGTACCATATTTAAAACCTGTTAAATGCCTGTTACAATTGTACCGCAATTGTTTAATGATATATGAGTAACCACTACGAGTATGTAACTAGCATAGATATCTGTATGCACTTCAAGGTCCAAAATATTTGTTAATCAGTTATTCCATATAAACAGATTATGTAAAATATTAAAAATATTCAATACAGCATGTTTTCCTTCTAACTTACATTAGGAAGATAAAAAAAAAATCTCATGGACCCCTAGGGTTTTACAGACCACATTTTGAGAACCATTGCTCTAGTCCCTTGTATGAACTGAAATGAAGCACTTATGCATTATAGTATTCTAGAAACTTGAAGTAATGATTAAAATTTGCAATCTTATTCTTATATTGTCACGATTTTATAGTGACTCACTAACTCACTTACTTATTCACACATGGAGCTGAGCCCCTCTTGAGAAGCCACCAATTGTGCACCTACTCAAGTACTTCCCAGCATTTTATTGAACCCTCAGGTTCATTACTCTGCTCACAAGAGCCCACAACTGGCCCTTATTCTGAGCCAGATCGATCCAATCCATACCATCCCATACTATCTCTCTAAGATCCATTTTAATATTGTCCATCCACCTATGCCTTGGTCTTCCCTGCAGTCTCTTTCCTTCTGGCTTTCCCAAAAATATGCTACATGCATTCCTATTTTTTTTTTCATTTGTGCTACATGCCCAGCCTACCGCATCCTACTTGACTTGATCATTCTAATTATACTTGGAGAAGAGTACAAGTTATGAAGCTCCTCATTATGCAGTTTTCTCCAACCTCCTGTCACTTCATCCCTGTTCGGTCCAAATATTCTCCTCAACACCCTGTTCTCAAACACCCTCAGTCTATGTTCCTCCCCTAATATCAGAGACCAAGTTTCACACCCATACAGAAGCACAGGCAAAATTATAGTTTTGTATATTCTAATTTTTATGTTTTTGAACAGCAGACGAGAAGACAAGACATTCTGGACTGAATAGCAGCAAGCAGTACCCAGATTCGATCTCCTCTTAATTTCCTCCTGAATCATGTTTTGATCAGTTATAGTCGTTCCCAAATATCTGAACTGTGCCACATTTTCAGAGCATCTGTTACCTATCTTTATATCATGATTTTTCTTTGCATTCTGATGACAAGACAGCAACATGTACTTAGTTTTCTTTGTGTTTACTTCTAGAACAAACTCCTTACTAGCATCATTTAAAGTTTGTGTGTTTTTCTTTATGATTTCTACATTATCACCCAGTAGATTCACATCATCAGCGTAGACCAACAGCTGATGTGTCCCATTTAATTTCAGTCTCACCTGGTTTTCCTGGACCTTTCTAAAGCAAAGTTGATAAACAGTGGCGATAAAGCATTTAGACCATTCTGGATAGGAAAATTATCAGACAAATATTTATCTATGTGGACTTTAATATACATTTTATTTAAACACATTTTAACCAGCCTAACTAGTTTCATGGGTACCCCAAACTCTATCAGAATGTTATACAGTACTTCCCTTCTAACCAAATCATAGTGTTTCTTGAAATCTAAGAATAACTGATGTACTGTCTCATTGTAGTCCCATTTTTTCTCGAGAATCTAATGAATGCAGAAGAGTTGATCAGTAGTTGAGCTGTTCGATTGAAACCCACACTGATGATCCCCAATAATTTCATCTATGTATGGACTTAAATTTGAGAAAAGAATATTGGATAAAGTTTTGTATGAAGTTGATAGCAGTGATAGCCCACGATATTTACTACAGTCAGTTTTATCACCCTTCTTGGGAATTGGTACAATAATAGACTCCCTCCACTGATCAGGCCATGACTATAGACAGGTTTTGGACTGATGATTGTTTTTGTTCTACTCTCACAGAACGTAAACACAAATAACTATGACCATCTCACTGAGTTACATTCTCCAAAAATCACTATAACTACAGAACACATAAAGTCTTCTCAGTCTTCCTAACCATTGCTCGGTAGCTGCTTCCAACAGTGGATATTCCCCATACTCTGGATTCCCAAACTATCCCCTGCCTCACTTATAGCAATTCTTGACTGACTCTGTCTGGCTGTCTGGTAAATTGCTGCTGGCCCTTGCCAGCCCAGAGATTCTGATTCTGAGTCCCTTGTGACTCATGACCATATTTACTGTCTCACATCTCTTGGAGTCATGCAAGTTTACTCTACTAAGTAACTCAAAGAGAAAAACAAAACCAATGTTATTTTATTACTGGTGGTTTACTGCCAGTCAGTTCATCTTGGTGCCAAGCCCCTTGACATTCATGACCAGAGGGTTATTTTTTTGCAATTGAACCCTTACAGTGGTAGTGCTTTTGTAACATTTCTGACAGAAGGATGGGTTTGTCTCTTATATAAAGTCTTCTCCTTTGTCAAGTGTACGTATCACTCACATAGTATGTTACTGAAAAATCTTGCTTTTTCCACTATGTGCAAATCCTCTTTCAGAGTAGGTTTAGCAAAGCAGATCATGCCTATCTTAATTATCTTAAGCTATGGTGGCAGATAGTCACTTGAACGGTCGTGACCTTGACCACCTCCAGGTTTAAGCTCCTCATATTTTACTAACTGACTCTAATTCAAAGTCAAAATCAAAGTTACTTTACAACTGATGGTTTACCGCCAGTCAGTTCATCTTGGCACCAGGCCCCTTGAGAATTACAACCAGATATATTTTTTTTGTCTGAACAAGGTAAATTTACACAATTTCAGAGTATATTTTGTTTTTAACATATATGTCAAAATGCCATTTTCATTTAACTCTATATGTATAAATCTTACCCATGACAGAGTATTGTTAAATAGCAAAGAATCAAATAAACATACTACTCATATATAAGCTTGTGTAATTTTACTTTCTTCCTCCAGAATTTGAGGTACTGGAATATGTAGAAATTGTTTCATATATTGTAAGATACACATACTATACCAGGCAACTGCTCTCTCCTTCAATATAGTTTAATTTGCTTAATTACAGTCAAAGATACATCAACTTTAGTGATCTTTGCCACTATATTTCTGCCTCTTACATTTTGGAAACTAAGGTCCTTACAAAAATTTATTAACTTTTGCAAGTATTAAGTTAATTTAAATAATAATTCAGCTCCTATACCTCAGAAAACCACTGCAAAATTCAGCAGGTTAATAATATATAACAATAAGTCTTTAATGACTTTTGCCTGCCGTGCCTGAAAATTTGTGGGAGATGCACATTTGTTGAAATTGTAGACTTGCAAGGCAATGCTCTCTCCATCACTGACAATTTTCTGATGCATATGTCAATTTATGATTTGCAAAAAGTTCTGAAGCTACCATACATCTATTATCACATTGCAGAACTATGGAGATAGCAAGCATAGGCCATAGAATATCAAGCAAACACAAGTATGTGCCTCTTATGAAAATGTAGAGCCTAGCACAAAAATAAAAGAAGCTAAACTTGGAACCAAACTTATGGCTGCTCAAGTAGCTAAGCTGCCATTATAGAATAAGCTATATAAGATAAAACACAATCTTCTACATAAAACCTGGACTTACACAGTCGTTGTATATGTTCTATGTATGTATGTATGTATGTAATGAAAATATTATAGCGGTGTATAATGAATATACTGCATGTAAAACTGGAAATACTACAAAAATTAGTCACAGACCAAGATTATTGACTAGAATCACAGCTGTCCTGTCATCATCAGAGAGGATATTCCAGTTCATCACAGACAGCAGTCATGAAGAGAGAGAGACCCCCCCCCCAGAATGTGATCAGCATGAAGACGGACTGATTGACCATCAATCTTGCATGACTGGGACCTAGATGCATGGTTGACTGTTACATTGATGCCGTGAATGACTGGAAAAGGACCATGGTTGGATGCCATGTTACTGTTACAGAGCACAGGTCATGCCTGATGTTCAAGACCCTAGAGAGGCAATGTGAATCACTGAATCACTGGAGGCAAGGCCAGTAATCAATGTGATATGTTGGCTTTAATGAATTTTCTGAAGCTGTGTTGTGCCTTTTCAGGGCTCAGTGTTGGCAAAGGTAAATGGATCCTGAACATGGAGGAAGAGGAAGAAGTAGAAAAAAAGTCTGCCAACCTGTAAACAGAAAGGAGTTGTCAAGATATTGCTGGAGTGTTGTTACAGCATTTCAGCAGTAGCATCTGTAGCTGAGTTGTGGTGCAACATTGTAGCACTACAACTCAGCTACAGAATTGATTGTGGCTCACTGTAGAGAAATCTGGTACTTCTAATTTTTTGTTTCCAAGCATGAGTCACCAGACCACAAGTCAAGTGAGACACTGCCAGCCCCTGCTTCTACTCACCACAGGAAGAAAATCAGTTTGTTTAGAGAAAATGCCATACCAAGTGAGAAAAGAGACAAGTTAACTCTACTTGAACCCCAGCAATCACTACCAGAATCAACTAGGTAATTCTTTGCTCCCATGAGGATTTCAAATGTACATAATAAATATCAGATAAAGAGGCTCAGGCTGTACCACCATCTAACAGTCAACCTGCAGCATCCTTGGATCCTTTGACAGCCAGAAGAAAAATCATGGAAGCGATTCTCCATAATCTTGACATCACAAATTAATCTCTTATCCATTCAAAAAGATATACAATTTCTTCTGCGCATTTCACTGTGGACCATTTGAACCACAGTTAAGTGGTTCTCCATAGTGTGGTTGACTACAAGGCATGTTGCCTCACCTGTCAGAACATAACTTGCAGCAGTTTTCCTTTTATCCTAAGCAAGATCATTCTATTAAGTAAACAACCTGACACCTTCTGATCAACTTTTGGTCCTAAGACATAGCCTTCATGAATTTGGCCTTGAAGTAACAGCATGAAGCAAATGACAGGCATATGACCCTCACCACAGGGCCCATCAACCACAATATAACTTCTGCCCTTCCTAGTAACTCTGGCGAACAGTCAGAACTTAATCGCCCTTTCCAATATTTTAAGATCAAAGCAGAAAGGGTCCAGACACTTTTAACATAGTATTACAACTACCAGTGTTCTGACCACGTTTGGATTTACTGCAGGCAGCTCCCCATGATGTCTACGTACCATTGCCACCGACAACCTTGACCAAGAATGCCAGGAGAGGGACAACTGTGCCAGTATTTCAAACTGCTGCAACTGAAAGACAATGACAGGTGTAGCTGCGCCAAGAAAGATCGGCAATGGCAGAAGCAGCTTATCTGACCCCTAAGTTCCATCTTTAGCACTGCATCCAAAGTGACCAGGCCAGGAAAGGAGTACACCATGGTAGCAGCAATAACGCAACAACTCTCCCTAGCCCAAAGGCCACTACAGAAAACGACCAGACCTCTTGAAAAGAAAGGGCCAACTCCAGGCATATACAGCACTAGTGGGAACATGATTACACTAACAAATACAGCGCAGTGGATCATTATAGGTCTAAAGTATGCAGAAAGAAAATATGACCTCTTTTTCATCCATATTGGAGCAGTCTTCTTACTCGTAATTATAAAATAAGGGCCTGCGCTTTTTTGTATGTGCAATACACTTCACAAATATTCTCCTTACGGTGAAAATACCGAAGCTGAAGAACTTGCAATTGTCTTGGTGTCAAGATGCAATCAGATTATGAAACCAAAACAGAGTTTGATACCAAAACTACTCAGGTCAACTGGAGAGCCTGGGTGAAGTGCAGCTAGTTCCAGTGCCAAAGACGCTTACCTTGCTCTTCAGCCCCAAAGATGGAGGTAGCAGATTCCTCTAATATTTTGGTAATGACCCAATAGACTACAAGGGTTCCTACAGGATAATAATCGTCATAGTCACGTCGTGAACACCTCAAATCTCACAGCAGTGCCTGTGTTTCAGTCCTCTAGCTCTTTAGCCAATTTATTTACTTTATTTGTTATTTACCTCACATTCCATGTTGCAATCTTAATATTTCATCTCTTTAAACATTTCCATCTCCTACAATCACATCCCATTAGTTCAGTCGGCTATTTATACTGAGAGATTTTCGAGTAATGATAGTTTCGTTGTGATAGGTTACCAGGTCATTGACGACTAATCTAGTTGCAGCTTTGCTTCCCAACGTCTCCAGATAGATCTTATGAAATTATCTCCAATATTGCTGGAACAGTTATACCGCCACGACATGGTCACCGGAGCCTCGTTTGTGGGAACAGAGTGGACCGCATGAAGGTGAGGTAGACGAGGTACATGAGGTGCGTCATTACTGGCATACCCTAAATAAATATTTTACAGCTATGTAAATGGTTGTTGTTGCCTGTTTGTTTGTTCTTGTCTCGAGACAGAGGAGTACCCTTATCCGCTTTTCTTTCGTGTAACGCATTCTACGTTTGTTTGTACTCGTACCAAGAACATATTTGTTGATATTAGAGAACACCAATTGACCCTAGGCATACTAGCAATCCGTTGTTCTGATCTCCATGATCCTGCACATGTTCGCCTTCTTTCCGGACTTGTGGACACTCCGATTTTGATGGAATAAGGAAGAAAAATTGCATCAGATATTTTTTGCGTTATGCAATAAAAGCCCTCGTTTTGATGTGAAATTCTGACAACATAGAAACTTGAAAGGAAAACTCCCTTTGGCTGAATACTGTAAAAGTGGAGCTTGAACGCTTCTAGAAGGAAATAGGAAAACCTAAGAACATTTTAAAATAACGCCCTATTTACTGCAGTATTTGGAATCGGCTGCCTCCAACTTCAGTGTATCCATCTACAAGCATCACACGCCAGAAGAGCGTAACTTAAACTGGCTCAAGCACGATATTTATGCCATAAATACCCTTTGAGATTTCAATGTAAAAAATCTTGAGGGGTGACACAAATGCATCAGCATTGGTTTTCTCTAATACTGCCTGTGTCTGCCTAATACTGCCTGTGTCTGCACTTACCCACAACACACCTTCATCAATTGCTGGTGCAGTACTGATTATTGGCAAAACACCTGAAAATAAAATCGTAAATATGTAATTAATGACCTACATCAATAAGATGTCTTGGGAATTGAAATACCTCGCCAAAGAAAGGGGTGTGTGATTTAACTCCGTGTCCTCTTTTGAATTGACCACTGATTGGCCTGGCAAGCACATTTAATTGCGAAAGAGTACGTAGTTTTTAATTTCGTTTTAATTGTTCCACGGAACAATTCAAAAGTTCCAGATCCTCTCTTAAATATGCTTATTAATATAAATATTTCCCTTTTGTTTATAAATACATATTTTATTTTTAAAAATGCTTGTAAGGTGGCTTTCATGTGAACGGATTTCAGGCGTCCTGTTACGAATGTTACAAATTCAACTGTTTTATTTTATTTTATTTGTGAAAAGAGCTCCATGATTCACGGACCATGAGAAGGCGAAAGTCAGACAGCTGATAGAGAAATTATCCTTCACAGAACCTAAAGGTTTGTTACTGTGTTTTAAACGAGTCTGACACTGACCCCTATCCTGAGTCAGTAAAAAACCAGTCTACACCACACGCCCTATTCTTTAAGACATCTTTTATTGCTATTCTCCCACCTACGCCTAGATCACTTCCCTTTATGATTTCTAACTACAATTTCATACGCACTTTTCATTTTCTGCATGCATACTACATGATCTCCGATTTGATAATTCTAATAGCAGATTAAAGATCATTGATTTATGGAGCTGTTGTTGTCCCACACTCTGTAACCACTTATGATCTTAATACCAGTTTTTTGTCCACTTGTTACTTCATTTCAACGTCACTGCTCACTCAATGCACTAAGCTCTTCTTTCTGTTCCCCTCTTATGACTGAACAGAACAGAAAACTGACTTATTGCTCTAATTAGCTTTTTGTTTCACCAAGGAACTTCTCTGACTAACTGAATGCTAACTTATGACTTACTCGTCTACTTCTGCACTGCACTGAACTGTACTCTCGATAGCATTTCACTACTTTAGAGGCACAGTGTAACCCCCCGTGAAGGTTTTAGAGATCCTTGTGTGACCTTGGGTTTCGGCGATTTCTAGAACATACCAGAAGGCAAGATGAGAAGTGTCGATACATGGGTCGAACAAGAGGTGCGCGCAGGACAGGCGACACGGACTTCGCACTCCGCTTCACCGAAAAGGAGGTGAGGTTTACAAGAAGTGAAGGTCCTTGTTATGCAGTTGTATCTATTTTCATCTTAGGCCCACATAATCTCTTCAGCAATTTGTTTTAAGTTATCTTCAAGCTACGTGCTTCTCTCAAGCGAGAAGCCGTGTTTCAAAATCATTCAAGACAACAGATACAATTAGAGTTGCATATGTTTAATTCTTAAGTTTTTAGATAGACTGGGAGATCAAGTATCTGAGCTAAATGGCAGCAACAATTCCCTCAGTTTTTTCAGCTTATCTTTTTTGTTTTCAGCTTTACCATACTTCCAAAGAAATTAATAGCTACGCATACATCATGGTTTTGTCCTGCATTTTGGTGACGAAAACTAAATTCAGGCGTTATAGAGAATCGAATGAGGTAGGAAAATGCGATTGAATGGTGAGAATTTTGAAAGGCAGCCGTAGTTTATTTTCAGATAGTATCGTGGCATTCACCTGAAGAGACTGGGGAAAACCACGAAACGTTTCAATTCAAACGGAATACGTCCTGAGTATTATCGCTCACTATCCTCGCACGGTAACCTGCCAGTTGCGATCTACTCTCAGCAAAGGGTGTCATTTCTGAAGCCTGTGGTTATTCGTTCACAACCCTAACGAACTGATATTCAGGTTGCATAGCATTTTAAAGAGCGGTTTCATTTTATATTTCTGTTGGAAATGAACCAGGGCTCTTTCGCCGGGGGTGAAGGAGCCGGACCACTCACCTCCAACTAGTGCCGAAGTCTTGAAAACGTGGATTTATACATCCACTCGTCTATACGTCTTCATGCTGTAGTGCTTAATTAGTTAAACTCAGGAACAACTTTACCTTTTAAGAATCCTCTTTAAAAATAAGCGCTATTTTCACATGTGGATCAAATTACATATTAGAACGTCCATCTGGAAGTGCTTCAGAAAGATGCGTTGGACACAGAGACAAAGGACAGGGACAGACTGAGCGACTATCAAATTGATATAATTTATTATGTTTTATGAGTCCATGATATTATTTAAAGAGATCGCCTCTGTGGTCTAGTGGTCAGAGTTCCTGGCTACAGATACAGAGGTCCCGGGTCCGATTCCCGGCGCTATCAGATTTTCTGAGAAGTAGTGGGTCTGGAACGGTGTCCACGCAGCCTCGTGAGGATAATTGAGGAGCTATTTCAAGGAAATAGCGGCTCCGGTCTAGAAACCCGAAATTAACGGCCGTGGGGATTCGTTGTACTGACCACGCGACACCCTCTATCCGCTAAATTTGGCACTAACTTCGCCGACAAGCGGCTGTCGCACGGTTGGTATAGTTCGCTTGCGGACTACAGGCCACGGAGTTTGTTTTTGTGTTTTATATTATTTAAAATGAAACTAAAACAGAAAGTGAAATTTGTTGTGATAATATGAACTGGACTGACGCGGTTCAGGATCGTTTTGATGCTAGAGGAAAATGTGTCTGGTTTGTGTTACTAGAGGACGCAAGTACGTGCTGGTTTGACTTCGTGATTCATTCTCAAGCCTTCATATGGTTTCGGTGAACTAGGTTCTTAATCATGATCAAGGTTACTATCGCCTGACGTCACAGCGGAGCGTAATGAGATAGAACATTGTAAACATATTCACGTGGACAAACATCTAATGCAAATGTATTGAGACTATGTGACGTCACCGTATGCCCGAGTTTACTCGTACCCGGAAGTGCTAGCAGTTAAAATATTACGTAGTTTATAGCCATTCGTTCAGCAGAATATACAATCTGCAAAATACTCGTTAACCACAACATTGTTTCTTCTTCTTATTCCTACTCCACTACCGTTTTAGTTAACGGTGCAGATGTACGAGGTCCTGTTTCGTTCAATGTATTAGAACCTTCGGATCCTTCGGATCTACCCACCGCAACACGTGAATATTTACCCCATGTCCCAAGAAGGATCAGAACTGAAAGGGTTACTACTGCGTTCGTAAGAATCCTTTATTGCGTTCTACCCTGAGTCACATCTTCACAACATATTTCTTTTAACTTTTATTTTAATACTGTCCTCCTGTCTATGCCTAGATATTCCAAGTGGTCTCTTCCCTTCAAGTCTTCCCAGTAATATATTGTCTGCATTTCTCGTCTCTTCCTTGTGNCCCCCCCCCCCCGCTTATCATCCCTGATTTGATCACCTTAATATTATTCCAAGACGGCCACGGTAGCCGAGGGGTCTACGGCATGTACTGTCTTCGCTTGCTCGGAAGCCGGGATCACGGGTTCGAATCCCACACAAGGCATGGATATTTGGTGTGTGTATGTGTTTATTCTGTGTTTGTGCTGTCCTCTGTTTAGGTAGAGGCCTTACGACGAGCTGATCATCCGCCCAAGGAGTCCTACCGTCAGTAAAAATGATCATGGAACTGAGAAATCAGCTCTATGCTCCAAAGTGGGAGCGAGAAGGGAAAAAATGTTATTCCAAGTGGCCATTGTAATCAGCATTAGGGGCGCTAAGCTGCGATGAAGATATGACCAGCAATGCCTGGAAAAATATGAATTGCATGTCTGCTTTGTAATTGGGTATGCACATCAGATTGTCTCGGAAGGAGCTTGAGATAAATACTGATTTTGGGACAGCAATTCTTTAGAGTAAGAATTAACTTTGGCATAATTCTTAGAAGTCGGTAAACTTCTATCAGATTATAAGGAGTCACATCCAGGACGTTAGTACTCAAAATAAATATTACTCACATGATGCTGACAATGACAATTTAACCTATATACCGGTTTGATATGATGTGGCGTTGGTACATGAAGAAATGAGGAGTGGTTTCAAGTGTGTGGGGACATTCATTACAAAAGCAAGCGGCAAGTTGATTTTATTATCGCTTTTTTAACGAAGAAAACACTTCTCAAATAATACGAAAGTGTCGATGTTGATACAAAGTCATGGCTTTAGTCTAAACATCCTGATAATTGATCTGCTGTTACTTCACCTTATTTAAGATATTGTTTTTAGGATAACACTAAGCGGTCACTGTTCTGATTGAAACATGCTGGAGTATGCACAGGATAAGTGCATGAAATCTAATAGCTGTACTTATGAACAAAATGTAAACACATTACTCATCAGAAGACCCTGGATACATTACCTTGACAATCGAAATATGCTTATCTACATGTAAATGCATTTTTTTATATTTATTGATTGGATCTGATAAAGGCCTGTTATAACGTCATCTTATAATTGAAGACACACAATCAGAAAGAACTTAAGACTCAGTTAATCAGCCCTAAAATGAACCCAAGAAAAAATGACACGACAAGTTTAGGTCAGGTCTACCAGGCCGATTTTCTTAACCGGAATTGGTACTATTTAGGGTACTATTATGGACAGACAAGGAATGTGTTTGATGCTTTTCGACATTATTCTGAAACTCTCAAAAAATATCTCACATTCTGGACTTAATAATTTGATGATTAAGTCTAAAATGGAAAGCATCCTCAATGTGGATAGCTGTCTGTTAGAGTAGCTGACATAAAAACTGCCGCTGGTCTGGCCTACGTTATATAACTAAGGTGAAAACTAATTTATCTCGAATGATGTTTCACCGTATACCCAAGACATTGCTGGATGAGATAGTGTTATTTTTATATGATATAATTCAAGTCCACAGTTTCGAGGGAGTCAAAGAGAAAGGATGATATTTTACATAAATCTTTCATCGCTAAATATTATAATAAAACGAACCTCTTCCTTGACTAGTCATGCAGCTATCAGCTTCTTGAGAAAAACTGTGCTCCACGGAGTGAATTATTTAGTTAAGGCACAATAGATCACTGTAGGTCCCGGTGCAAAGGCCCAGAAGGCCCACCCCTTATACATTCATTCATTAATTATTTAGTTAGCCTTAAATTTCTTCAAAATCAACTTGCTGGGGATTTGTCTCCTCAGTCAGGCAAAGTTAGAAGGGATTTGACTCCTCGGACAATACTGTCGACTTTGAAATCAGTATGCTTTAACGACGGTGCCCACAGCAACCCCCATGTTCTTGAGTAAATACTCATATACGTGTATTAAGGAATTTTATATTTCACGTAGAGCACATGTGGCACGTCGAAATAAAGAAAAGTAACCATCCATTCACGTAAGTGTAATTTTGTATGCTGATTTTCTTACAAAAATTCTCACATATGAGAAATTCTATTACAGAATTTGTCTCAGTGTAACAATGAATGTGACTCGACAGATATTATTTCATTATTAGTTCTCTTTACAATAACAATATCGAAGCCCGTCTTTATACTCTAACCTAGTATTCATTTCATTTAATTCACAACTTCAAATTCATAATATATATTCTGATTCTATCTTCTTGATCTTCCAATTAGCTTATTATCATTAACTTTCTGACAAAACTGATACGTGTATTGTTGTCTCCCCCATCTTCAAGTCCATAGTAATCTTGATTTGTTCACTGCTATAATGTAACGTGGGTTATATAAAATATATTTTGGTGCAATATCCTCAGCCTTCCCCTTTATTTCTTTCACGTTAGGTCCAAAATAATTTTGTTCCTTGATATCCGTTCGTTTGAATGAAAAGAAAAACAGATTTTTAGAAAAGTCCAATAACAGGTAACAGTGTTTTGAAAATATGAGAGAAGATGACTGTTTCTGAATTGAGTAATGACAAAGTTAAGCGGAGAAAGTGACTTTTATTTAGTTAATTAGTATCATGTCATGAAGATATAATGGGAGGTGTAGTTTCTCACATTTATATTCTCGGCGCTACATAAAATAGTGATCAGCTTTAGAGTTCAGCAGTTTTTATCCCGAGGAAAGTTGGTCTGGTACATGCTGGATTGCAGAAAGCGTAGCCCGAACCCCAGACCCGGCACGGATGGTTGCAAGGGGAGAATGTCGGTATTTTTCTCTGTGCCTAGAATCGCTCCCCGGTTGCATATTCCACAGAAAGTCACTTTACTTTAACGGATATATTTCGTAAAATTATCATTCTCTAATTCTGTTGGAAGCCTGATGTATTTAATTGTTTATATATTCTGTAGACCTAAGTGTACAAAGTATATATTTTTTTTAAAAAATGGTCGAGCGACCTATCTGAATGACTTCACACGGAATGACCCTATAAAGAACAATAGACAATTATTATATGCTGCTTGTTTTTGTAACGTTCTTACCTAATACGATGAACGATGCAACTGAAGTCATTTCGTTGCGTCGAGGCGTCATTCATGCCAGTTTCTTTTCTTTAATTTCCCCTTCACAGCAATGTTCGCAGTAAATCTGTATACGTTCACTTCATTGAATTAAAAATGAAATGGTTTATCGACTATAACACAATATACAATACAATAAATATAATAAAGTGCATGTAGTAATAATTTGAAAGTAATTATACTTTTTTATGAAACGGATACAACTGAACGCAGTGTTGTAATATAGGATCTTCAAGCACACAGTCATGCGTTATGATCATAGGCTTTGTAGACTGTCTTATTTTTTAAAAAACTGATTTTCAAGAGACATCGTCATATCAGTCATTGTTGTTTAAATTGTTGTTCATTTAATTCACTTTTAAAATTTTCCAGAAATAATTTAATAAACTGCCCAACATTTCTCCAAACATTTTGTAAACTGTCCCAGAAGATAGTTCAAAATTATAAACACTTATATAATTTCAAGTTTAGTACGTTAATCAAATACTGGGATTCTTTTTAACGTGTCACACATTAAAAATTACGTTTGAAGTCGCCGATCATGTCAGTCCATTTGTGAAGCAATCCCATGTTGTTCACCTCGTACCACTCACTACCCGGATCTTGCCCCACACTTCTCACTTATATACTGACCGCCACACTGCTCCGCGGGTTGCAGTAGTTTTGTTGTTGCGCGTGAGATTTATGAATGACGTCACAATTGCAGGCCTCGTGGCATCCTGCTTTATCCTGTCCGTCTACGGTTGTCGACCTGCAAACCAGGATGCCCTGCCACTGATGCTGTCGTGATGCTCCCCAGGTCAGAGATCAAATGTATCTTCACCGACCAGCTCCTTTCTATTGCTGCTGCTTCTCCATAAGGTCCGGACGCACTGCTTCCAATTTGCTGAAGACGGATGTTTTATTTACGAATACTTTGTCCATATACAGCTTCGAGGTTCGTACTTTCACCTTCAAAAAATGTTCTTCAGTGAACTTTTTATACTTCCTTTGACAGATTATGTCCCCTGACCCTTTCCTATTCAGAATTAATCTGGAACTACGAATCTTACAGACAACTTGTGGGACTTTTTACGGGGGATCAGCCCGTCGCAAGCCTGCTATCTGCTGATGACAACACAAACACAGGAAACACGCAGACATACACCCACGGTTCGAGTGAGTTTCGAACCACATCCCAGTATTCACGGGGACGAAACCGTTTTGTACTTCAGACCACACGGCCACTGTGATCGGCTCCTCAGTTTAGTAAATGAAGGTATTCAGTATTTAGTGCCTGACGAATTGGCGACAGTACTTGGAGGGGAACTCTTTTTAAGAAGCTAATAGTACCTCAGCTGGTCAACAAATTCTACGGGTTTTATGGAACCGAAAGTTTTATTTCGGTCTTCACGACACTCTGCCATTTCACTTTCAAGAATTATTTGTTTAAGATTGATTTTAATATTTTCCCCCCATCAAAGTCCTAAATTTTCTAAGTAATCTGTCTCGTTCAGATTTTCTGGGTAAAATTTTGTATACATTTCTCATCTTTTCAGTGCCCCGACCATATCATAATTTGATTTGATCACTTTTAATAATATACGGCAAAGAGTGCAAATTATGCAACTCTACACTGCGAGGTTTGTCTTATTCACATTTCCTGTAGCCTTGTTGACGGTGGTCATTTTATCTTTGAGTATTGCGACCGGGAGTCTATTCCTGGCAGAATTCTTTCCTTTCTCCAAACGACGTTCAGGCTTCTATCCAGGAGGTACCTGGAATCCTCTCGTTAGAGTATAGAGGTCGGAGCGCGAAACTGACTACTCGCTTCTGTCTAGTGAAAGGTAAATTGACCCCCGTGTTTAACTAAAGAAGTACTACGCCATGAAGAATTGTGCGGGAGTGCATTTATACACCCATGTATTCTTGACCTCGGCAGAACAGTTGTCAGCTTCACGATCCGGCCGCTTTATCCCCAGGGTAAGATCCCCGTTACCCATTGTATAGGAGGCGGGGTGGGCCCCAAAAGTTGGATTGGACGACATGGAAAGGAGAAAATCTCGCTGATAATTAAAAAATAGTTCGTGTCACAAAATCTGCTGAGGTTTGCAAATTACTACAATCCAAAATATAGACTCCGTACAGATGTGGTCCATTTAAAATAATATGAGTATTAACATCTTCAAATTATAGTATATGATTTCTTTTACTCGTAAAACTAACAATATCCATTTCAATTAGTTGTTGGGTGATCTATTAATCGTACGAATTGATTGTGTAAATGATCTTGTGATTATGATACACACCAAACTGCATTTTCTTCGTCATGTTGAGTACTTACATTCTCATGCACTAAAGCTGTTAGTACAAATTCGTTTCATCATACACAATTTTTCGTCTTTGTATATTCTAAAATTTCATGAGTTACCTTAATTCATTCAAAGCTTCAATATGCGTCTGCCGTCTGACATAACCTTACTTTAGCAGATTCCAATAAGCTGGGAAACATAAAAGAGATTTAGAAAATTTATGTTTCCATCGATTTATTCAGCGCAATATTTTTTTTTAAATCAATGTTGAATTATTTATATTTTGAAATGCTTCATTCCAGGCAACGAAATCTTGACTCTTTAACGTCTTCAAGAACAAAATTCCGTGCGTCCGTTACGCAAATTAAGAGACGTTTCCACCTTTAACGTCAATAATGTCTCAAGATTTAGCTCTTCAAGAAGGTGCGTCACGGCTGCAAGCAACGTCTGCCAATGTCTGGACGTTTTTGTTAAATATAACACCTCTATTTTCAGGATATATTTTCCTTCACTATTTTATTGCTTAGTGTTAAATTTTAGTCTAGTTCTAGTTTCAGTTCTAGCCTTAGTCTACTTTTTGTTACGTACACTTTCAGTGCTCGCCTGTTACAGGCCACTCGCTGTTGGCAACCACTTAAATAAAGGAACTGAATTATTATTATTATTATTATTATTATTATTAGGAGGAGGAGGAGGAGGAGGAGTAGTAATAGTGGTAGTGGTGGTGGTGGTGGTAGTAGAAATTGTCTTCTCATACTTTGACAACAGACAATTTATATATTCTTGCTCATAATAATAAACCAATAAACCAATATTTTATCATGCAATGATTCCTTGGATGGGAGATCAGCAATCCAGAGGCCTATAATCCTTTTAGATAATACGGAATATCGTGCGCAAATGTCCGTACCATGAGCTGTATCGAGAATTTAACCTTGTACTCCTGCAACAAGATCGCCCATCGCTGTCTGTACTTAATTAACATTGTGATAACAGAATCCGAATGTTCAGCATTAATAATATCAAAGGCCGGCATTGAATACAACCCTGAGCCAGTTTTATCCACATCTCATCCTTATAACCTATCTCCTGTACATCCATGTCAATCTTTTCCTATCAGCTTAATTCCAAAAAATTCTAAGGTGCTGTTTTCCAGTAGGATTTCCCGTCAGAATTCAGTACGCATTTCCTGTCTCTTCCGAGACAAGCCAATGGCAGAGAATCTCTTAGCTTATTAGTTAGTAACCTGAGAACTTCAAGCCACATCTTTAAACAACATACTGATAGATTAAGCAAGAAACATATAACGTACAACTAGCACGGTATGTTGGTTAGCGTTCCTGCTTCGTATGCCGGAATCCTGGTTGCGAATTTCGGTCAGAAAACCTGGTATCCTGATCGATGTTCATCGTGGCTCTTTTTCCCTTTCCTACATCAAGATTATTGGATGCTACCTTAAGATAGTTCAGTCAGTATAGCGACTATCAGTTGGACGGCCCGGGTTCAATTCCTGGCCGTGCAAGATTTTTCTCTTCTCTACAGCGTCAAGACCAACATTGGGACCTATACAACCTCCCATCCATTGGGTACCGGGGGCTCTTTCCCCCGGGGTAGAGCGGCAGGGCCTTTTTGCTGATCACTCACCTCCATCTAGTGCCGAGGTCAAGAAAGGTGGAGCTATTCCTCCACCCCTCCTCCATTTGTCATCATGGCATAGTATTTAACTAATTGAGGGCAGGGACAGTTTTACCTTTTACCTTAAGAGAGATGACGTCAGTTTGCTTCAACACACTTCCCAATTCATCATTCAGTTACCCACCTTTCGATACTGCATAGCCTATGTCGCTGAGAATAATGTTTAAAGAAAGCAGTATTGTGGAATGCGCTGTGTTTTGCAGAGGTCTGGAAGCTGTTTGACCGGTCCAAGCTGATGACTTCCGTTACGCGCATCCGTGTCCGCTCTGGAATCCGTGAGATGTAACTGATTTAATTGCACAACGAGAATGACATTTCGGAACACAAACGAGTTCTCCGTATGTTTGCCAAATTCTCTGTCTGCGATTCTGTATAACAAACCAGACTGGACGTTGGTTTATTGCAGATAAAAATCTACCGCTGCAAGACAGTAACACTGCAGATACAACGTAGTCGTTAGATCTTCATGAGGTTATTACTTGAGTGATTTCATTATGATACAGTGAGCCGTGTTTTATATACTTTATTAACTCCGATATACTGCACTGATAAAAATCAACATTAAATTCGGTCTACAAATTTCAGTAATTTTTTAAATGAAACATGCGGACGGACAAATGCAACTCAATGTACCAATGGATTCATTTGATACATCCATAGCAAGTCACGCCTATATACTAATTAATTTTAATTGGCGCATCTCAGAGTCATAATAGTTTAACTAACCCCGTGGTCTTTAGTCCGCAAGCGAACTATACCGACCGAGCGACCGCCGCTTGTCGGCGAAGTTAGTGTCACGTGGTCAGCACAACGGATCCCCACGGCCGTTAATCTCGGTTTTCTAGACCAGAGCCGCTACTTTTCCATTCAAATAGCTCCTCAATTATTCTCACGAGGCTGAGCGGACCTCGTACCAGACCCACTACTTCTCAGAAAATCTGGTAGCGCCGGGAGTCGAACCTGGGACCTCTGGATATGTAGCCAGGAACTCTGACCACTAGACCACAGAGGCGGTCATTCATAACAGTTTATTACAACTAATCCACGACGAAAATGACGACGATATTGAAGGTAGTCATTGTGTAGAAAGATATATTGCTGTTTTATTTTTTGCATCCATCGTGGGTGGTTTTGATTCATTTCAGAATTTGACAGAGATAATCAGCATTATGAACTTTACATTTCACAGAGGAACGCACTCATTAAGTTGATCTGAGTTTGTTATATAACGACACTCTCAGCATCAAGACTGTATGGCTTCGATGATATGATTAATGAATGTAGAGCAGCTAGTGGAACGAGAACTGGCAGAGAAAACCGAAGCATTCGTAGAAAACCTGCCCCAGTGCCACTTTGTCCACTACAAATCCCACATGACCTTACCTGGGATCGAACACCAGCCTCCGAGTTGAGAACCCGGCAAGGGCGAATGTTTTCTTTTCCGTGTATTTTCTTACATATTTATGTGTATGTAAATGCTTTCAGATAACGTTATAAACAACACTCACGTCCTTATAGTACGTCACATGACCGCTTTAAGTACGAGGAGAAGTGCTGGTGAATTTGGATTTCAGTTTGGATACCTTTGAGGGTTATATGGGACTAAAATGAAAGCAAG